CATATATTTGTATGATGAATACAAATATCTACGGAATGAATAACACATGTTCGAACGATGAATAACATAGATTGACAAGATGAATAACACTATTTTACAGAATTAATGACACACATTTACAATTGTGTATGATCACATATTACATGATGAACAACATCACTTGTAGTTTGTATCACAATTAGAATGAATAACTAAGCGAAAATAATGAATAACTATAAATAGATGATGAATAAACATTTACAGAAGAAGAAAACATGATTATAACAACCCAAAATTGATGATGAATAATGATATCGAGATGATGAATAACCATCAGAAATAGATAATGATGTCAAAATTTGATTTCTAAAATCAACTAGGAATCGATGAACAAGACTAAAACATCGATGAACTAATATGTTTTAAAGATGAATAATGATATTAAACTGATGAACAAAGCCTAGATCTATTAATCTTTTTCTAAAATCAAGCACAGATCGATAAACAAAACTAAGAAATTGATGAACTAACATCATTAATCGATGATGAATGATGAATAAATATTTCACAGAAGAAGAAAATATGACTAAAACAACCACACATTGATGATGAATAATTATACCGAGATGATGAATAATGCCAGATCTATGAATATTCTTTGAAATCAACCACAAAATGATGAAGAAGACTAGAACATCGATGAAAACTAACATGTTTTAAAGATGAATAATGATATTAAACTGATGAAGAGCACCTGGATCTATTAATCTTTTCCAAAATCAACCATATATCGATCAACAAAACTAATCGATAGGAATAATCTCAATATTTGCCATCGGACAAAACACAAAAAAGATCTATTAAACTGATGAACAACGCTTAGATCTATTAATCTTTTCTAAAATTCACCGACAAAACACAAAACATACGAATAATCTCAAATCTTACCGTAATTCTCATATTCAGCACCGTATATTGCAATCAAAGTCACGGGATTTGATGCACAATCGGATTTCATCTTCAAAAATACCACCGACGAGAGGTTTTGATGCCAAATCGCTGCAGAGAATATTTTATTTTTTAGATTTTTTAGTCTGAGACGTTTTTGAATTGGAATAGGAAGTTGGATGGATATGATTAATGATGGCTGAAAATTAGGAGAGATATTAGGAAATTTAAAATTTGAAAAATCTTTTTTTTACCCTCTTTTTGAGCGCGTAAATTTAAAACTGCAAGGTGTACCTAGGAGCTCTATATTATAACTGATATTAGAGAGTTTATAGTAAAACTTAATTAATTGTCTGAAATGGGACTAAGTTTTGAAATATTCCGAAAAGAAAAGTGAGCCTATTGAATTGGAATGGAGGGAGTAGTAATCCTCCCATTCCATTATGTCTGACTTCAGCTTTTGGGATTATCTACCATTTCCTCTTTCTTAATGAATTGATTCATCCACTTTATGCAAGTCATAAAATTAGCCATTATTTTAATTCCAACGACCCCAATTTTAATGAAAACTTTGACGATGTAGTCTTAACTACTCCATTGCCAATATTAATACTACTTCCTTCCCAAAAAAATAATTCACATAGTAAGATTTGGACGATGTACAATTTGAAAACTCAATGTGGACTATTATTTTGGGACGGAGGAAGTATTAAAATATACACCTTATTATTCATATTTGTTTTTTTTTTTTTTTTCTGAAATACAAGTACATAATAACACGAAACAGATGGCTCCAGGAGAGGGGGGAAACATGAATGTAAGATTAGCTTGAAAGAGAGTTGATCAGTAAAGATTGCTGTAAAATCTACCGTCGAAATTCAAATTGTTGTAAGTTCTTCTTCTGTGTTAAAATAATTGTTTAGTTTAAATTTTCATGTTTAATAAAATAAAATTAAAAAAATAAAATACAATTTGGACAATCGTTTGTTTTTACGCGAAGGAATAATTTTTGTCACTATCTAGTGCTACGGTAACAACTAGCTGGAGTAATACTCTTGCATACAAAAAAAAAATGTGTAACTCATGATCTCAGACACAATAACAATACTAGTTTGAGGTTAAGAATATTTCTTTTTTTCTTTCCTTTGTTATTAATAATCTTTAGGAAATAAAATTCGATTGTTTCCGGACATGGCATCCAAACATTATTGCTCTATTAAGAAGTTTGAACAGTGCAGATGCAAGAAGACATGTATAACAAATAGTTTGTTCTTTCTAGTAGAACCTCGGCCCTTAACTATAATCAAAATCAACTTTTTAATATACATATTTTTGCAAAATTAATTATGACCAACCCCCAAAAAAAAAAAGAGAGAGAGAGAGGAGACAATGCGACAAATTAAATTAGCTCCACTGTCCAGAGAAAACAATTGATTTCGTTGAAATAGATTGACCCAAATTTGAATTTGAAAAGGGAAAAAATGACTCTACCAAAACAACCCCACTCCTTTTGGTGGTTTGTAAAATAAAATACAGTAAAAACTCTATAAATTAATAGTATTGGGCTTACAAAAATTTATTCATTATAGAATATTAGTTTATTGACACATTAGTAATTATTATTTTATCAAAATATTAACATTTTATTAATTTATAAGGTTTTTCAACTCTATTAGAAAATAAATACTTAACTTCAATCCTATTTCCTTATGTATTTATGATGATATAGTTATTTACTGACCAGAGGTAAAATCAAAGATAAAAATTTTTCTTAAATGTAATTTCAAGACAAAACAGAACTCCAGTAAGTTTCTACTTTCTTGAACCTTATTAGCTTTTTTTTTTTTCTGTATTTTAGACCATTATTGATTTTTTCTAGGGTACCTACATTTATATAGGAATTTTTGAAAATTTAATATATTATTAAATTATTGATTTTGTTTCTTACACTGGTCCGAGTTAAGACCAAAAACATTTATTAATTAACAAATTTTATTAATTTATAGAATATTGATTTAGACAGTTTTTACTATACTTTTATGTCATTAATTGGATGAAACATCACTTTCAATCGATCAGCACTAATCCGATACGGGCCTAAGGATTTTCAATGTACAGTTAATTTTCTATCATCAACCTCAATGATAAATTTCTTTGTTAATTAAATTTTTTTGGTCAGACTTGACCGCACATTAATCTTCAATCCAAAATAAACATATCAAAACAGACAAATCAGACAGATATTGAAGACAACTTGTTGCTTGAAATGATTATGCGCTTTATACTAAAGTCGAAAGGTACTACCAGAAGTATTAATTAAAAGTATCAAATTCAAACGTGCAAAACATCAATATCAAATTGGTCCAAACAATTATGTGATGTATATATGTTAATTAATATATCACATATTTAAGTTTGCAAGTTGGTTTGATAAAATTATAGATTGATTTTCCCTATTTCTAAAATCGCACAACACGTGCATATTATTTAATCACTAGTTTACCTACTCCCATCCCATTATGTCTAACTTCACGTTTTGAGATTATCTATTGGTTCCAATAATGAATGGATTAATCCACTTTATGTTTGTAGACCAAATCACATGCAATCTATAAATCTAATTATTTTAAGTTCGATGACCCCAATTTTAATGAAAAGTCTGACTATGCAACCTTAACTACTCCACTGCCAATATAATAGTAATCTCTATAATTATTTTGTCTTATAAATATAGTTTATATTATAATTTATTTTTAAAAAAGTACAGTGAATAATAATAGCACTAAACAGCTGATTCCATTGCGGGGGGATAGTTAATTTTGTTGAAATGAAACGTTAACAATTGCAGACCTATTCAAAGTTTGTGAGCACAATTTGTGATCACTATAACCTCTGTCACTAAATGGCATTTGTAATGACAAAGATTCGTCAAAAAGTGACCTAGTCACGAAATGGAAGCTTTTCTAGTAGTGCTACTGGGAAGGTATTAGAGATCATGTTGCAGAGCTTTTTCTCTTGTTGGGGCACACCTAGAAATAGATACATAAGTCTTCTAAGAGATAATTTTTAGATTCTTACTGTGTATTGGTGTTATGTACCTATTGAGTGTTGAACCATTTTGTTGATATGTTTCGGCAAAAATTATCCATTTAGGTATTCTAATTTTTTTTTCTATGTTCTTTCCTTTGTTTTTCTTTGTTTTAAGGTGTAAATATTTGGTACTCTTGTCTGTAATTATGATTATCTATTTGAAACACAAATTATTATATTGTTAAAATGAATATAAAATTTAATGTTTCGAAAATTTTTTATCCTAATGAGCATTTCAACAAAAATAATTTTGTAACATTTTAAGACAATAGGATTTCAAATGTTAGACATGCCATGTATATGTTTTATACAGCTAATTATTATTTGGAAAAAAAATTTGAAACATACTTTTAAAAATTGCACCTGTGCTAATTATTAGTATTAATGTTAGTGTGTGGAAATATTGATTTTTTCCCCTTACAGCATGAGCACCTCCAGAGTTGTTTCAAGTCTAGTTCTGCCCTGAACGGTAATTAAAAAGCAAAAAATATTAAAACAAAAAGTTCACATGGTTCCGCTTTGCTATCGAATATTGTGTTCAGAAATGTCAGTGCAAGAGTACAAGCTGCTAAAAAAATCTATGCCGGATCTATCGATCTTAAAATCTGTAACTAAACAAGGGTACTAAATAATATAGTAAAGATATCTGGCCAAAAGGTTGTGGGAAATTTCTGATAAAGCTATGCATATGAAAAAGCAAAACCTTATTATTATGATTATTCTTATTAACTTATTTCTTTCTTAATATTTTCATGCAGTAAATGTAAATCGTCATTAAACAAACCCAGCGTCCTTCCACTATCCATCGAGCGCCTCCATCTATAAATACTCGTCTTCCTTCCCCACATCATTTCACTCATCCAACATACATCTGTTCATCTTCTTCTGAAACACTAAAATATTTTTTTCAAAAAACAAACCTAATAGTAATAACTAGAATTTAGGCAACGGGGAACAAAATAACAATGTTGGCCGTGTTGCTTATGGCAACTTTAATAGCTGCCATGGCACCAATGGGGCATGGAATCCCGGATCAAACCCGACAGGGAGTGGAGAAATGGTTCAAACACTTCCCAATGCAAAGGAGAAGCTCACAAGGCTCAATTTCTTCTTCCAGGACGTTGTTTCTGGGCCCAAACCCGCCGCTGTGGAGGTTGCCAGATCAACCCTCACTGCCAACTCACCCACATTTTTGGACGAACAAGGGTTTTTGATGATCCATTAACAGTGACAGGTTCATCTTCTTCCAAGACCATTGGTTACGGTCAGGGACTCTTATGTCTTGACTTCACAGGAAGACGTGGCTTTGCTTTTCACCTTCAACTTTGTCTTCACCGACGGCAAATACAGCGGCAGCAGTCTCAGCCTCCAGGGCTACAACCCACTGGAAGCCAACTACCGGGAGTTGGCGGTCATCGGAGGATCGGCTGTTTTCCGGCTGGCGAAAGGAAGCGCGGTGGCGTCCACTTACTGGGCTAACGCAACCACCCAAGATGGTATCGTCGACTTCACAGTGTATGTCCTCCATTACGACGAGGGTGATAACAATGAACAGTATGCTCAGGACATGTAATTTCAACTCATTTTGTTGTGCTTTTTTTTTTTTTTTTTTTGCTCTTTTGGGTTTACATCTTTCAGTTATGTGTCTCTCTCTCCTTTAATGCCCATGTTGGGTTTTGCAGTTTGCTTTTTTTTTGGTGAAAATAAAATGCTGCTTATTTTTTGGCAGAATATGAATGATATAAACTTGTTGGGTCAGTTTTTTTCAATTGGGCTTTGGAAGATTTGGAGATAAGGTGGGCCGGAGCAGATGAAGCAGAAGGTCGCGGATCAGGCTTCTAGAAGGCCCAAAGCCCGATTTGAGAAGGAAGCCTAGTTGTTGTTGAACCGACTGGGACTGGAGCACTATTTAAAGGAATCGGCAGTAGGAGGAAGGACATAATCAAATTAGCATCAAATTGCTTCTTTAAATATTCAGTCTTTTATTTTCGATTTTATCTCTAAAATTAGGGTTCTTCAAGAACTCTCTAAACAAGGCCGATCATCGGCGGCTGTACTTGATCATTCAAGAATTTAATAAAGTCTGGCCAACGGCCAATTCTTATTATTCCGAAGTTCTTACTTTCAGTTTGCTTATCACAAGTTATAAAGAACAATGCACAATCGTTTGATAGATATATTGCGTGATTTTTTTATGACGAAAATTGTGCAAACATATTTTTGGCATGCCCGATGGGACTATACAATTTTGTGCAAATCAGATCAGGATGGCTACCGCAGTCACAACAGATGTGATCCCTCCTGATCAATCATTACCGCTAACAAGCATGACGGGCCCAGCACAAACGTCAACTTAGACCTTAAAGGGGCTAACACCGGACAATTCACCAAAACAAACGAGTACTAGCGAGTCTATGCTCAGCAAGGATATCATGAGCGCCATGGCAATATTGGTTGACCGAGTAAATTCGATGCAAGCAGAATTGGGTGCCATCAAAGCTTCGGGATAATGGCCGGTTACACCAAGTTTCTTAGGACAGGAGAAGCAGATGAGTAAAATGCCGGAGAACTGCAGTATCAACCCTTTGCACATTTTAGGTCATGATACTCCGAGGTCGTCCCACTTTACAGCAAGCCCGTCCTCGCGTTTGCCGGGTTACACATCTGGGATGATACAAACACCCAGTAGTTGGTATAAAAAAAGTGGTGCCAAACCAACCGGCGTTTATTCCTCCATATGGGAACTTTACTTTTGATGGCAGGACAGCCCCACCAATTTTTTATCAATATCAGCCATATTAAGTAGCAGTAACCACAAAAGGGGTATCTCCAGATCCTAGTACCGCTGGGGCATCTAAAACCGATTAAAGCAGTCGGCGGATATATGCGGAAGAAACTGTTTGGATACAGGACGATTGCCTGACGGAAGTGTTGGACCAATGACTCCATGCAAGGTTTTTAAAGGAGCGATTCCTCCTGCAACCTTGCAAACAGCCTCAAGTACCGCACCAATGATAGAATCGATGGTTGCCAACTAGCAAACTCAACAGTCAGCGGAACAACAATCAGTGACTGCTGGTAACAAGATGTTAGCGTTATTGGGGGGATCATCGATGCCGCCTCATCTTACAAGAGAAGAGGTACATGAAAATCGATTGTGGACAGGTGTGGAGCATGAAAAAAATAGGAATCGGGAAGCCGCTGCCAGAACTGCTGTCGCAGGCTCTAATGTAACATCCCAACCTCATAGACTGGCCCAACAACTTGCACGCTTTCGTCCTCGCTAGCCCAAAATGGTTCACACAAGTCGTTAGTAATTGATGAGGTTGAGACTTATATACAGGTTATGCACTTCGTCACGTAGTAATGTGGGACAGGATGTTACAGCCCACCCCCTTTGGATCTTTGCGTCCTCGCAAAGCCCAACAAGTAAGAATGTGGCCCAGTCTTCCCCTGGAATAGGACTCTAGAGGTGGCTCACGTGCTTCCCATTTGTCCCGTCTGCAGGCTCAGAGGCGTCTCTGCACTTGTCCCGTCAGTGGGCTCAGAGGTGTGTCCGGACGTAGTACTTAGCTCCTAAACCAGGGTCCGCTCTGATACCTTTTGTAATATCCCAGCCTCATAGACTGACCCAACAACTTTCAGGCTTTTGTGCTAGCTCAAAATGGTTAACCCAAGTTGTTAGTAATTTATGAGGTTGAGACTTATATACAGGTCATTCACTTTGTCACGTAGTAATGTAGGATAGGGTGTTACATCTAACACGGCTCAAAACACTAATGTCTTTAGGACACTGACTCAAACACCAGCAGGAAACCAGATGAAGTATGTTATAATGGCTAATCAACATGGGCAACTTCAATATTTTCAAGTGTTACAACTCCCTAATCATTATCCACGGTTGGTGCCGGTTGTTAATCCACCAAATGGTGCGATAGGGAATGGAACCCAGGTAGCAAGGATTCCTTTGGCACATCAAGGTCCTCCGCTTAATGGGATGAATAACCAGTCTTAGGAACCGGTGGTCAATCATGTGGTTGTACCTGGTAGTAATAACCCGGCTGGTAATCAGATACCGACAGCTCAGGGATAGATGGAAAGCACAGGGCAACAACCGGCTGGTGCAGTGCAGACGCCACCAATTAATAATCCAACATTGACGCCTGATCAGATTGAATTACGCCGATTGATGTCAGAGGCGCTACGGCGAGATTCGGGGTTCAAGATTCTAGAGGTTCCTGAAAAACCATATGCGATCCTAGTCGACTTGGAGCCTTTTCCCCGGAATTTCAAAATGCCCACATTCACTAAGTTTTCAAGTGATGATAGCACAAGGCCGGAGAATCACATATGGGCCTACGAGCTGGAGTGTGGGCAATTGGCAAACAATGAATTTGACAAGCTGCGATTGTTTCTACAATCATTGACCGACACGACATTGGAATGGTCCCGAGCATTGAGACCCAGATCGGTGGCCAATTGGGATGTTCAGAAAGAATTGTTTTTACAGAACTTCTATGTGAGCAAGCCAGAGCATACAGTTGTGGACCTTCATGATGTTAAACAAAAGCCTACTGAAATTGGAGAACAATATTTATTAAGATTCAGACAGATGAGAGCCACGATACCAGGGGAATACCCAGAGCAAATTATCATTACTATGGCTATAGAGGGTTTAACTAATTTCCGATTGAAGTTCGAATTGATAGGAAGAACTTTCCCTAACCTAGGCGAGTTGGCCGAGGCAATTTGCCAATTAGATAAAGTCATTGTGGAAGAAGCTGAGAGCCACAAAAGTCGTGGTAGGCAATGGTTTAATCCTCCTAATCAGCCGTCTATAAACCAAGCTCAGTATTTTGGTTTGGATGAAGAGGATGAGCTTGAGGATATCAATGCATTTGAGATAGTAAACATGAAGGGATATAGGTGTAGTGCTTTGAGAAAACCTAATACTCCAGAAGCATGTGGTATACCACCAGGACCAGGAACCACTACTGGGGCGAAACCAAGGGCTGATCCTAATAATCCGGGAGGAACTTATTCATTTGATATCACTCAGCAGAAAGCAATCTTTGAGGATATGTTGAAAACAGGCCATGTGACTTATCGGAAGGGACATAAACAATCAAAACCTACTGAGATAGAAGGGAAAACATACTGCAAGTATCATATGTCAATGACTCATGGAACAAATGATTGTGTGGTATTCCACAATGTCATACAGAAGATGATTGATAGTGGAGACATTCAAGTGGAGGAACCAGCCGCGGTGATGATAGAGTCGTTCCCTGTGAATCACGTGGTAGGAATGATAAATATGGATCCCCGAGCAATCACATATGCAAGATAGAAAGTGACCATTGGTTGCCAAGACTGTGATAGAGTGGTGGACTAAATGAAAGAAGAAGTTTTTCGATTAGGAAGCGCAGATGGTGGGCACTTGCATCAATGTAGAATACTCCCACAACCGACAGAAGAAGAGAAAACTATTGAAGTAGATGGGCAGCTACAGACCTGGGTTAAGAAACTGCAAGTACAAGAGGCGCATGAGAACTATTAGCAGAAGGTGGCAATGTCTTTAATATAGGCACTTCAGAACAGGCATGTTGAATGTCCGGGACTGTTAAACAAAGATGTTGATCAGTATGATGCCAGACTGGATCCAAGATAACCGATCCATGAACGGCTAGGTTCACGTATACCTCAAGGACTTGGGGAGAGCGGATTCCAGCCGAGGACGGCTAAAGACAGGTTGTCCTGGCCAGACCGTCTTCAGGGAGTAAGTTTCGGAAGGTCCGCTCAACCATTCATGCCGCCTATGAATAACGCCACGGCAAGGATGGTGAGGCCCAATCAGGTTACGGATAATTTGTGGCACAGAGTGGAACATCCCAGATTCCCGACTCTAGTGTCAGCAAGTAATGGTATAACCTGGACTCAATGTCGGAGGTGGCAGCGTCAACGAGCAGGACGGTATCAAAGTCAAAACGAAAGAGGAAGTTTGAGCAATCACCTTACGGTGCTCCTAGGCAACAGACCCGAGTAGTCAAGCAGTGGCGAGTCAAGGAGCAGGACAGTATGGATTTTAATATGGTGTATGTACTTCCCAAGGAGTACGCTGCTAGACAAATTATGGCAGAACTATTGAAAGTAAAGGTTGATAAGGCAGAAGAATTACCGATGCCGGAAGCTAATCAGCGATCGAAAGAAGTATTGTGTATCAAGGTGACAACTGATGGAGATTCCCCAGCAGTAGTAATTTCTGTACCAGAATCGATGTCTACTAGCCATGTGAAGCCGCTATATGTGCAGGCTTTGCTGAATGGTGTTCCTATAAATAGGATATTAGTTGACAATGGCGCGGCTGTAAATATTATGCCCACTTCAAGTCTACAAAGGTTGGGAAAACAAAAACTGGATCTGGTCCCTACTGAGATTGCAGTCAGTTGTTTTACCAGAGATGTGACAAGTACTTGGGGAATATTACCGGTTAAGGTAGAGTTAGGCTCTCAAGCGCTCATATCGGTTTTCTTTCTAGTGGATACCACAGGATCTAACAATGCTTTGTTAGGC